TATTGAAACTTAACATTTTAAACTAAATAAAAATGGAAAATTTGGAGCATTTGTAAATAATACGTACCTAAACGATAAATAGGTAACTAAGAATAACGTCATGATTAGAATATCGTAAGTGTATAACATTTAACACAAAAGAATGTAACGTTAAAAATTATCATGGAAATCCATTCGTTTCAATATTATTTATTATTAAATAACTATGTATATGATAATACTTGTTAAATTATACTGGTGGTTATCATTCTATAATATTACTATTTTTTATTTAATATTATCAGTGGCAAASATACCACAACATTAATAATTTAATGAAAGCTGCAAAACTGATTAAATTTGTCAKAACAAAAATATATATATAACTACTCTGGATCTGTAAATACTGAAGGAGGGCTGTTTTCAAGAATTAACTATAGGTAGTAAAAATTAGAATGCAAAATGTATTATTGCACAATTATTATTATATACCTATAACGATTTTATAATATATTAAAATTATGTTTCATCATTATTTTTTTAACTGTATACATAGTTTAGTACTATGYACATAGATAATACATAAAACAAACTCGATAATCGAATCTGTTTTAAGTCTCATACAGACGTATGAAGTCTGGCAGCCATATGTCAAGAGGGAAAAATGAAATTGATTAATCCACGAAATGTGTTTTAGTATGGAACGAATTATAATTATATAATAACACAACGAATTAATCTTGAGTTTTGGATAAACCCTATGTTATTGATTTATTTTACTAAATCTGACGGCATAGTCATTAATGTCATAGATTTTTATTCAATCGTGTTTCGCCCTCTCATGGGTCACTGGCTGCTGACTTCAATACACTCATCACTGAGTCGGCTATTTAATTGTTTTATATTTTAATAGCTATGATATTATATTACTATTATGGATTACATTTTATCACTATTCCGTATTATTGTTTGTATTCATTAAAACTATCTACATTTTATCATTTTCAATCGTAACAGACAATTTTTGTATAGGTACATAATTATATTTAATTTTTGGTTTTTTCTTAAAATGCTTCTTAACTCATTATAATAATCACTAAGTCACGGTTTAGGTTTAAAATTCTAAATATATGTTTTTAAAAAAACATGAAATATTTTATCAAACAATTTTTTATTCTACATTCTTAAAACACTTATTATACATAACAAAGARAAACGCACTGAATAGAATATCATGAATAAACCAAAATCACTATACACTAAAGTCACTGTCATAGATTACCTACTAGACAGCATTTACTTATGTCATGCTCTATTATGTAAAATATATACACGTGGATCTGCGAAGACTGAAGCAGGGTTTTTTTTWAWWMMAMCMWTTYYWAWTWAAAAAATATATTAATGCGCAATACATAACTATACATCATACAACATTAAATCTATATCAATAAATTGTAGTACATACCTACATCTTTTTTTATAACTTTTTTTTTGTTTTATTATATTATTTTATTCAAAAATTATGACAGCTTGACAATTATAAAATTTTGATAACTTTATAATATACCATATTACTATTATAGATTATTTTATCAATTTAAGTCTTGGTAATTTTTTTTTTCGTATTCCTTTAACAATTGATGAGCTATCATAGACTATATTCCATGTAGTAGGTACCTACACTAGAACAAAAA